TTTTCTAGCTCACCACAAATATTTTCTAGTTCATCACCAGTATTTTCTAGCTCAACCCTAATATTTTATACCTCATCCCAAGTATTTTCTTACTCATTCCTAGTGTTTTCTAGTTCACTCCCGGTATTCCTCTGAATTTTCTAGATCATTCCCAGTATTTTCTAGCAGATCCCCAAAACTTGCAAGTATTTTCTACCCACCCCCAATATCTTCTGGTTTATCCCAATTATTCCCAACTAATTTTTAGCTCATCTCCTACATTTTACAGTTCAACCCTAGTTATATTCTCTAGCTCATCCCCAGTATTTTCTTGCTCACCCCAAGTATGTTCTAGCTCCTCCCCAGTATTTTCTAGCTAACCCCCAGTTCTTTCTAGCTCATCCTTAATATTTTCTAGCTCATCCCTTATGTTTTCTAAATCCCTTCCCAATATCGTCTAGCTGATCCCCTAAATTTGCCAGTATTTTCTAACTCATCCCTAATACTTTCTAGCTCATCCCCGCCGGTATTTTCTAGCTCATCCCTAATATTTTCTATTATTTTTCGTCTCATCCCAAATATTTCCTAGCTCATCCCTAATAATTTCTAGTTAATTCTCAACATTTTTTAGTTCATCCACATTATTTTCTACCTCATCTCCACTCTTTTCTATCTCATCGCTATTTATTTCTAGCTCATCCCAGTATTTTATAGCTCACTCCCCAGTATTTTCTTGCTCACTTCCCAGTATTTTATAGTTCATGCCCAGTATTCCTTAGTATTTTCTAGGTCATTCCCAGTATTTTCTAACTGATCCCCAGAATTTGCCCATATTTCCTAGACATTTCCAATATTTTCTGGCTTATCCAAAATATTCTCCAGTATTTTCAAGCTAATCTCCAACATTTTCTAGCTCAACCCTTCTATTTTCTAGCTCATCCCCAGGAATTTTTTGCTCTTCCCCAGTATTCTCTAGCCAACCCTGATATTTTCTAGACCATTCCCAACATTTTCTCATCTAGACTATTTTCTAATTCATCCACAGTATACTAGCTCATCAACCTTACAATTTTCTAGCTCATCTATACTATTTTGTTTTTAGCTCAACCACAGCATTTTATAGTTCATCACTAATATTTTTTTAACTCATCCCAAATGCTTTAAAGCTCATCTCTAATATTTTCTAGTTCATTCCCAATATTTTTTTTATCACATCCTAAATATTTTCTATCTCATCCCCAATATTTTTTTTAAAAATCTCATCCACAATATTATACAGCTCATCCACAATATATTTTTTAGCCAATCCCTAATATTTTCTATTTTCATCCCCAGCACTTCCCAAATATTTTCTAGCTCATCAACGGTATTTTTTAAAGTTCATCCCCAGTATTTTCTAGCTCAACCCATATATTTTCTAGATCATCCCCAGTAGTTTCTATTTCATCCCAAGTATTTTCTAGCTAATCCAGAGTATTTTATAGCTCAACTTTAAAATTGTCTAGCTCACACCTATTTTCTAGCTCAACCGCAGTATTTTGTAGCTCATAACTAATATTTTTCACCTCATCAGAAATATTTTTTAGCTCACCCCTCATATTTTAAAGTTAATTTTCAATACTTTTTTTTTTTACCACATCCCAAATATTTTCTAGCTCATCCTCAATATTCATCAGACTTTTCTATCTCATCCCCAATGTTTTTAAAATCTCATCCCCAATGTTTTCTAGATAATCCCTAATGTTTTCTAGCTCACCTTTTATATTTTTTAGCTTGTTCCCAGTATTTTCTAGCTCAACCCTAATATTTTACAGCTCACCAAAAGTATTTTCTAGCTAATCCCTAGTATTTTCTAACTCATCCTAACTATTTTTTTTAGCTCAGCCACAGTATTTTCTCGCTCATCGCTAATTATTTATAGCTCATCCCCAGTATTTTCTAGCTCATTCTCAGTTCTTTTAGCGCATCCCTAATATTTTCTAGCTCATCAACAGTATTTTCAAGTTCATCCCATGTACTTTCTAGTTCATCCCCTGTATTTTCTAGTTCATCCACAGTATTCCCAGGTATCTTTTAGCTAATCCCTAATATTTTTTAGCTCATCATCAGTATTTTTAAAAAAATCTCAACCCTCTTATTTTCTAGCTTCTCCAAAATATTTACCATTACTTTCTAGCTCACCACTATTATTTTCTATCTCAACCCTTATATTTTCTAGCTCATCCCCACTATTTTCTAGTTCAATCCCACGTATTTACTAGCTCATCCCCAGTACTCCTCAGTATTTTGTAGCTCATCTTCAACATTTTCTAGCTCAACCCTAATATTTTCTAGCTCACCCCTAATATTTTTTAGCTCAACCCTCATACTTTCTAGCGTAACCCCAATATTTTCTAGCTCACCCCCAGTATTTTTTAGCTGAACGCTCATACTTTCTAGCGTAACCCCAGTATTTTCTAGCTCACCCCCAGTATTTTCTAGGTCATTCCAAGTATTTTATATCTCAACCTTAAAATTTTCTAGCTAAATCCCTACTATTTTTAAGCTCAACCACAGTATTTTCTGGCTCATGACTAATATTTTTCACCTCATCCCAAATATTTTCTAGCTCATCTCTAGTGTTTTCTTGTTCATTCCCAACCTTTTCTAGCTTATCCCCAGTACTTTCTGGCTCATCCCTAATGTTTTCTAGCACATCCCCAGTATATTCTAGCACTTTGCAAGTATTTTCTAGTTCATCCACAGTATTCCCCAGTATTTTCTAGCTAATCCGGAATATTCCCCAGTATTTTTTAAGCTTATCCCCAATGTTTTCTAGTACATCCCCAGTATATTCTAGCACTTCCCAAGTATTTTCTAGCTCATCAATAGTATTTTCTAGTTCATCCCCAGTGTTATGTAGTTCATCCACAGTATTCCCCAGTATTTTCTAGCTGATCCCCAAAATTTTCCACCTTTTTTAAACTCCTCCATAATATTTTCTAGCTCATCCCCGGTATTTTCTAGATTATCCCTATTATTTTCTAGCTCATCCCTAATATTTTCTTGCTCATCATCAGTATTTTTTTTTAGCTTATCCCCAATATTTTCTAGCCCAATCCCCAGTATTTATTAGCTTATCTCCAGTATTCCTCAGTATTTTCTAGATCATAACCAGTATTTTCCGGCGGATTCCAAAAATTTGCCAGAATTTTCTATCCCATTGCGAATATTTTCTGCCTAATCTAAAATATTCCCCAGATTTTTCTAACTCCCCTAAAACATTTTCTAGCTCAACTCTAATATTTTCTAGCTCTTACCCAGTGTTTTCTAGCTTAACGTAATATTTTCTAGATCATCATCAGTATTTTGTAGTTCATCCTAAATATTTTCTAACTCATCCCCAGTATTTTATAGCCCAACCTTAAAATTGTTTAGCTCATCCCTACCATTTTCTAGCTCAACCACAGTAATTTCTCACTCATCACTAATATGTTTCACTTCATCCCAAATACTTTTTAGCTCATTCCTAATATTTTCTAGTTCATTCCCAATATCTTTTATCACATCCCCAATATGTTCTAGCTCATCTCCAATATTTCTGAGCCTTTTCTATCTCATCACCAATAATGTTTTTAAATCACATTCACAATATTTTCTAGCTCATCCCAAGGACTTTCTAGCTAATCCGTAATATATTCTAGCTTATCCTATATATTTCTAGCTCCTCTCCAGTAT